AAAAATTTTACAAGAAAAAATGCTTTCCATAGTAAAATTAAAAAGGGAGAGGAGCATCTTAAACACTAATTGCAAGAAAGCAATTAGAACTTAAAGCAGTATCTTTTCATATAATTACAATTTAGGTTTTCCTCAAACTTTAGAAAATTTCTAATCTATTTTATTTTTCTGTACCTTCCAAACAATGGTCATTTGAAATCTGAATCAGAAATAGGTTTCTCTCATTCACTATAGGAAAGAAAGTATTTAACATTTGTTTTGTTATCTCACAAACTTTTGATAGTTTCACACCAGCTGCAACAATATCTTCATGTAGTACTTACCAACTATTTGACACTGATCAAAATGAACACGTGTCACTTAAGAGCATGGAGCCAAACAGATGCTTCTAAGTACTTACATAACACTGGAGGGGACACATGTCCTTGAGGAAAATGGCAGAAAGCCTTCTCCATTCAGGGTTTTTCCTTTGGAACACATGGACAACAGCGACTCTAGGGCTGAATTACCTAAGTGTGAAGACCAGCAATTTTCCCCTTGGGAAACTGAGAGGAAATACCAAAATCAACTGCAGCTCAGTGTACGACAAACATGGTCATTTTTGAAAGCATGTTATCACTAACTTTCAAAAAATCTAATTACAGGAACTTAAATGAAACTGTCAGGATTACCCAACTATTCATCCATCTTTATGGCTGTGTTTTTTAGGGAAGAACTGAGTCACATCACCTTCCTATGTCCTTCCGTCTGGTACCTTTATTTTATTCAGTCCTACACAGTAAAGAAACAAGTAGAGGCAGGGGGGTAGGGGAGAGAAACAAGCAAGGAATCAGTTCAAAAAAAAATCTTTAAAATTAAACAGTGGCTTCTATATGCATCATGCTCCCAGTTCTATAAAAAGAAAATAAAGTAAAAATTTGTTTCTACAGACTTTCTTGTTTTCACACACTCCCCAATCTTCATTTCTCCAACTATCCATCTGAAGTGTGTTTCTACTATTCATTCTCCAGACTATTCCACCTCTTCATCCTGCCTTTCTCCTGGAGTCTTTGGTTAAGAAGCTCAGATGGGTTCCTACATCCAGATATAATAGTCCATACTTTCTTTCTGATAGAGGTTTGTAAAATGCTTATTACCTAATGATCCATGAATTACCCAGTGAGAATAACATAGACACAAATGTTTGAATCTTGTCTCTCGAAACATTTAGGGTTATTTTTAAATCTCTGTAAACCACTGCTTTTGAAATAGTTTGTAAATTATCCATAGGTCCACCTAGTTTGTTCCTGAAACAAAATAATGTTTTCTTGTTAATCATAAAATAGATATTTACATGTGACCCATTATTTCAATTCAATTGAATTAATAATTATTGTAGACCAACACTACATCAAGTACTCTTCAATTCTGAGAACAATAAATGAACAAGACATAGCCCCAATGTTAAATAACTCAATTCAGTCAGTGGGAAGACAATGACAAATATAAAAAATTACAACATAACCTTGGTGAATAATAGAATCAAAGTATGTATATGGTACAAGAAAAATGCCTTGGGGGCTAGCAGGGGCTGGAACCTCCTTCAAAAGCTCACCTGCCTAAAATACACATATTTTCCAAAAATGCGCTATGGTGCATGCAATGTTGACAATGAGAGCTATTCATTTGGAATAGATTATTTCCAAAAATTCCACATATAGTGTTAGTATTACTTGGAAAAGCATAATTCCTTAGCAGATACTATATTATCTTAACAGATTCCTGTGAACTACAAAAAAATATGTGATACCAACATGTACATATTTTGGTGAAAGGAAAATTTAAAAGTTCATTAGACACAGTCCATCAAGAATTAGGTCAGGCGGAAATATATCCAGAAGGATGTAAATGTGGACCAGTATAATGAGGACATGAACTAAAAGGGATCAGGACTTATCCAGACTAGATTTATTAAAAACAGGGTTATTACTCACTATTCCTTCTAAAACTAGGTCACTAATTAATAAGTCTATTAAACACATTTCTCCCACTTTGTATTTTCATAACATGGTCTTTGGAGACAAGTCAAGGAAACAATTTGCTTATATAAGAGGTAGCTCATATTTCTCCTGCCCTTCCCATGCAAGATCGCTTTAGATTGTGGTTACCATGTTTATGCCTTCTCTGTTGTCTTTAGACAGGTCAGCAATTCCTGCCCTCATTACAGGACAGCTGATGCTAGTTAACTCTCCCTCCCAATCTTTCTTTAATCAACTCCATCAGTTTTCTTTCCTTTTCTATCTTAAAAAATGAGGAAAATATGAAAATTTCTAAGAGTTTAAAAGAATAAAGTTCAAAAGAGGCCAAGTAATAACTCAGTATCATTTAACCATCAATAAAATTTGGGGCAACAATTAAACTAAATTTGTCTCTAGTTCTCCTGCACCCTCACTACACAAAGGCAAGTAAAGTGATTTTTATTTCCACACTGTTCTCACATTGTATCTTGAATGTAACTACATCTCAACCTACAATGTTTCCTACTAACTTACCCCAAAAATGTAGGGAGATTCTTGAAAGAGTACTTTATTAATAATGAAAATGACACACTTTATAGATGAGAAAAGAAAGAACTTACATGCATTGAGACTTACAAATGTTTATTTCTAATCAGCTAGTATTAAGATGAACATTTCAAGAAAACACTTCAGTAACATGAACTTATATGATCCATGCTTTAGGTAAAATGTCACTATAAATAAAATGAAAAAGAAAAACTCTTCATTGTCCAAACTGTGTCTAAACATATTGAGGGGGTGGAGGAGAAGCCAAGATGAGGAATCATTTAATCTAGGTTGCAGCTGTAATTGTATGGCTGAGGAGAGTAGTTTAACATATCTTATTAACTCTAGTATTAATAAAAGACATGAGTCAAGGAAATTTCCAGGCAGATTCATTGCAACATCAAATACTTTCTGGTATCTCTCTACCTTCCTACCTTCTCACTTCCAGCCTGGATCTTTTGTAAAATATAACACAATTGATTTGAGAACTTTGGCCTTCACAATATTTTTCTGCATTCATTACAAACTTGGGAATAGAATCCACGATTCTTACCACTGGATTGTAAATGAGGAAGGCTGGCTCCACCCATTCCTACTGGGAATTGTTAGAAATGTCTTAGAAAAAAAATTGACCCATATTTTTCTTGGCTAAAACATCTCAATTTAATAAAAATCTTATTCTCCAAAATCTGCTGTTCCCTTATGGTACAAAGATACACTCTTCTCATTTCAAAATGAAAATTCAATTGATGGCCTGATGTTTGTCAAAGTATCCAATACTGAAAACCTGGACATGACACAAAGATACCAGCTGCAGGCAAGGAAGAATGCTAAGTGAAATAAATCAGGAGGAGAAAAATAAATACCTGATGTATCAAATATGTGAAAAATAAAGCAACTAAACTCAGAGTCATTTAAAGCAAGCTGGAAAACTAAAGCTTGGTAGCTGACTACAGAACTGAAACACCAAGGGGGGAGAGCAGAAAAGGGGAGAACAAAGAATAAAGGAAACACAACAGACTGTGGTGGAGAACTACAGGTCAGTTGGTAGGGGTTGCTCTACAGAGAATTCCTTGATAGGGGTATCCAAATAATACAACTAAAAATTAATTTAAAAAATACCAGTTGCCTACAATTCATCAAATGGAAGGCAAACTTACAAAATGAGCATGTAGATGAATAACTAGTATTACAAAGAGTCTGCCTGTTTAAACCTGGATGCCCATTTATCCCTGCATCTCTTGACCCAGGGCTCCACTTGAGTGGTATCCAATGGAAAGAACATGACAGACACTCTTGTCCTTCTTAATATCCCTTATCTCGCTTCAGATCCACCTGTGTTCCCTGAATCAAAAATTCATTTAGGTTAAGACATCCAAAGAATGGATTCTGGTGACCCTAATCAGTGACAGACTGAATAAATGAGCTCAGTGGCATCCAGCAGGTTGATAAAACCCTTTGTGGCAAGGTCAGGTGTTCAGAGATGTTTCGAGGCATCTTCACCATGCAATGGAATTAGAAACACAGATTTCTCAGTTTCTATAGATGTCAGCTTGTCCCTTCTTATTAGATATGAGCCACGAATGAAGGGGTTATCAGAGGAAAGGAAGTTTAGAGAAAATGGGCAGAGGCTGCAATCAGGAACAGAGGTGTTATACTGATCCTTCATCAACCACTTCTACAAGCATCCATGAATTGCTGTGGTTTATTCTCTTTTAAAAGCCAGGTGCAGATATCTGGCCTACATGGGACCCATCTATGAAGAAGAAACTTTATGAGGGCAGCAATGAAACCAAATATCGAAGTCAATTGTAATCCCATCCACTAAACTCAGTTCTCGTAATGGTTTCTTTGCAGATGGATTTCTCATTTCTTCCCTCTTGCTCTCTTGTTTTTTATTGTAACCTAAGTCTTGTTATGTATCCTAAGGAACAAAGGAAAAAAATTACAGAAACTTTCCTAAAATGCAGGCTGGCGAAAGAAAATGGAAAGAGAATGAAATACAAGATGAACTTGATAGACACAAGAGATAAACTTTAATGACATTTGGGTAACTCAAAGCACACAGAAATGTGTCTATAACAGATGTAAATGGAAGGATATGTAGAAATATATGAGGATTTATGACTACAGAAATATTTCTCATAGAATCTTCCTACGAAAAATATTTTATAGCATTAGATCACAGGTGATATTTATGACAAGAGACAAAATATTACAAATCTCAGGTATTTCTAGGCCAGAATATACAGTGCTTAGCTATAAATCTTCACCATTTGATGTGGTGATCTTGAGTAATTTCTTTATCTCTCTAAGGCTTTCTTTCCTCATTTATAAGAGGTAAATAAGAAACACTCAACATAAAATCATTATAAGAATTAACTAAGGTAATGTATGTGGTAGGTACTAACTGTAAAGAACTCAACAAGTGTTGATCATCACCAGAACACACGTCATTATAGACAGAATTTATGTGCTCATACTGGTGACACAACTCTAAGGCAAACCATTAAGATCCCAATTAGAGGCTTACATTTGATGTTCTCTAACAAAAGCTGCAAACTCAGGATCATTGGCATATAGTTCCAAAATTCTCATTCTTTCTTGAATTTCCTTTAAAGAAAAAGAAAGTCACACATTGCATTAGAAAAACCTCAACAGCCTTATAAAAGAAGTTCTAATCTTTATAAGAAATTGTGGCTTTCTGGACTATGCAGGATAGAGTTATAAGAAGAAATGCCTTTTCAGAGAAATGGGAGATGTGGATACCACATGAACTGATCTGAGAGGAGGAGGAAGAGAACATTTGCTAATATTGGAAAATGAGCCAACCCCTGAGCGGAGATTAAGGTACAGTTCAGAATGGTGTACCCTCTGCACACCACATAAACTGAGAGATATTCGGAGATCAAACTAATTATGAAATAATTTTCATCCTTTTTTGAAGCCCACATATACACACACCCACACACAAACCCCCCCCCACACACACACACACACACACCCAGCAGTACAGAGCAGCAACAGGAAAGAAAGTTTTCTACCTCTCCGGAAAGCTCACTGTTCTCATACATTCGTCTGATCTCTTCCCTGCTCAGACCACTAATCATCTCTCCACCTGCAGGGCAGCAGAAAGGATGCAGAGGATAAGGGCCCTCATACTGCTTGAGTCTGGCCATGTGACTTCCGTACACAGTGTTGTACTTCACAGCATTTTCCACGGAGGACAGGCTATCAGGCTGCCTGCTGAACCACAAAAAGGAGAGTGTGGTTGATTTGGATTCTCTTTCAGATATTCAGCTACTTGAAAGACTACCTAGAGCAAGTTTTCTGCTGAGGAAGAAAAAGAGGACCTATATAGGGGCAGTAACTATAAAAAAATATTCACCTGATTCTCAAACAATATTTTTCAGGTGTAATCATTATTATCTGTGCAACAGTACCTGGCACTCGATAAACGATGGGGAAATACATCTGCCAATAGACAGTAATTCATAAAACATATTCCCATCATTCCCAGAGGATACAAACCAAAAATTAGTGTGCAACCACACAGGGAATCTGACATAAACATAAACATATGGAGGACTGGATCTCCATCTAATTCAAGTCTACAAACACTTACTGAGGGCTGATTGTGTGTCTAAACTGTTTCAGTTGCTGATGGTGCAAAGAATTTGCTAGAACCCATCCTGAATGAGACTACAGTCTAATGCAAAGTCAGGCAGAATAAAAAGTATAAGAATGGTGACAGAAATGTGTCCTGGGTAATCTAGGAAGGGCTCCTTCTTAGCTAAGCCAGAGAATAAGGGAAGGTAAGCTAACCATGAATCAGGAGCTCTTATAGACTCTAGAAGCACAGAAACAAAGTACAATCAGGGATTATGATTACATAACCCAAAAGGTGCTTGGATCCCTAGTCTAACGAGTAGGGCAGGTTCAACTTTCCCTATTAAAGAAATTATGCTTAAACTAAGCAGCTACCCAGATTTCTTTTTACTTCTTCATACCTTTATTCAAATTTTTTTCATTTCTTTTACTCAAAATAATTGCTTTTGATAGTTAACTGGCTACCAATTCATTCCCAAATCCAATTTGAGAATTCTACTTGAAAATTTTATGACATTTCCTACTCTTTCTAATTCCCTCTTTCTTTTATTTATAATCCAAAAGTTTGTTTTACTTTTATTAAGTTGACCTGTTTGTTTTCTCTTTGTAGCACATATAAGTGAAATCAAATGGTATTTGTCTTTCTTTGTCTGTCTTATTTCACTAAGCATAATACCCTCTAGGTCCATCCATATTGAAACAAGTGGCAAGATTTCATCTTTTTACAGCTAAATAGTATTCCACTGTGTATATATACCACATCTTCTTTATCCATTCCTCAATCAATGGATACTTAGGTTGTTTCCAGGAGAACCAGATTTCATTTCTTGTCAGTCTTACCCAGATTTAAAATCTGGCTTACTACCATGAAATGAGCCAAAGGGGCACGAAGTAAGAGGTCCTCATACAAGAGCCTCACTTCCTCTCCATCACCCTTCCAACTTCTCTCTCACCATAAAACAGGAATCCTGGCCATATTCAATGATACCATTCCTTCAGTGTGTCCTGAAATTCACACATGCCTTCCTGAATTTGTATACACTCATTTAGTGAGGTAGAAAGCCCCTCCACCAGCTGCTATCTCCTCTTAAACTAAGCTTGATAAATCAGCCTGTCAGCCAAGTATAACCAAAGTCACATGGGTGTAGAAGGAGAAAATGCTAAAGAGAAGCAGGGAAAGCATAAGCAATTTGCATCTAGTCTGCCAAACATCTGCCTAACTAAAATATAAAAAATATCATTAAAACTCCTTTTTCCAGATTTTAAAACTTTATTTTCATTTATAAAAGCTTTATGTCACAATAACTAAAGTGATTTGAACAATAAAAAAATGGCACTCTCATTAAACTGCTTCTTACACTTTGGACCACCACTGTCGTCCCACCCATAGGGAGAGGTAGATGCAGCCTTCATTGTCAGTAATTCTTGACTCTCCAATATGAAGAGGGGAAGCACAGTCCCTTAAAATTGCTCCAAGTTCTTTCCATTTTACAAAGTTAAACAGGTAAAAGAAGTAAAGTAAGAAGGCATTGCTTTTGGAGTGTGCAGTGCATAGTGGCAACACACGCCTCAATACAATTGGCCTGCTTGCTTCTCTTGTTCAGTTGTTCCTTTGGAAAACAGCTGAATTTCCTGTTGCCTTTCTGTCTTCTCCAGTGTTGTCTTATTTCTCAATTTCAGGCATACAGGTTTGTCAGGAATGCTTGCAGAAAAAGCAGAGCAAGGCACACTAACTAGCAGAGTCCAATCTGTGCCGTGGCCACCGCTCAATTCATTAAAATTTCTAAGACTCTCTCCAGGCAAAACAAATTCATTCCCTCCTCTAGGCCCCTTAGTATCTTATTAATCTTGCTTATTTTTTCCAAGTTGACATCCCTTGAGGACAGGGACCATCTTTTATTCAACTATACAACTCTGTTCCCTCTACCCATACCCTTGCCCAATATTTGGCATATGGTATACACCAAATGAATGAGTAAAAAGAACATTTTATTCTATCAGAAAGCAATTTTCCTTATTTACCTGAAGCGCCTTTCTCTTTCTCTCATAATATACTGAGTTTGAAGAGTCTTGACAATGAAGAAGATGACTGCAGACAAGATGAGGATCAATCCAGCCACAGAAGCCACCGTAATGCCTATCACTAGGGGCTCGGACACAAACTCCTCACAGTGTTCACCTCGGTACCACCAGTTCTCACCTACCCGGCATCTGTAACAAGAAGTGACCAAATCCAAAAATGGAATCACTCTGCTGAAAGTAACAATTAACAGCAGAACCTTCAGTGGGACTGGGAAAGGTAAGAAATAGATATCAACCACATGCAGCTTCAGTAAAGAGGTAAATATACAGGTTAAATGATCACATTTAAAGTGATGCTTAAGCACTGTTACAATAGCTAAGCTTTGGAAACAACTCAAATGCCCAAAAATAGATGACTGGATCAAGAAGATGTGGTCCATATACACCATGGAATATTACTCAGCATTCAAAAAAGATAAACACATGCAATTTGCAGCAACATGGATGGCGCTGGAAGGGATCATGCTCGGCGAAATAAGCCAGAAAGAAAAAGAAAAATACCGGATGGTCTCACTCATAGCAGGAATCTAGAAAACTTAAATAAGGGACCAGGAAAATGAGTAACTCTTGTAACTCTTGTAAAGTGAAAATCAAAATCAACAAAAAACTATGAACCAGAGACACTCTATAGGGGGTGGGGGGCAGGGAGGGGAGGGATTGGGGTCAAAATAAGGGGGTTGCAATTGTATGGGGAATATAAAAATAAAATTTATTTAAAAAAAAGAAAAAAAGAGAAAAGAAAAATAAAGTGATGCTTAATGCCTGGCACAGTCCTCAATGACTAATTGTAAAATAAAAGAATGAATAAGCTTACAGAAAGTATTTCTATTTAACTTCATTATTTACGAATAATGAAAAAGAGGCCCAGGAAGGAAAGTGACTGACATGAGGTCTGGGCCCAAACTCCTCACATACCTTTACTACATTGCAGAGATCTGCCAAACCCCAAGAGCACAGGCTTATGTATAAATGCCTTCAGTCCCCAGAGTAGAAAGGAAATCACTGACTTTCAAAATAATAGTAATTTCTCTGGAAATTGAGAGACTGTCTTCCCCCTTAACTTTCAAGCTAAATTTTATACTTTTTCATTTAGAAGAATTTGGATCATTTTCATGTTTCCTCTGGTTTGGGATGTATGCCAATAGTTTCCTATTTTGACATTTGCAAATTGCTTATGCTTCCCCTGCTTTTCTTCAGCATTTTCTCCTTCTATACCCATGTGACTGGTTATATGTGGCTGACAGGCTGATTTATCAAGCTTTGTTTAAGAGGAGACAGCAGGGAAGGATACTCTACTCCTCTGGCTACTATCTATTCACTGATTCTACCTTTAAAAAAAATGTACATAACACATATTTGTTACATATAATGCAACTGCTATATTTTTGAATAGTCAGTAGGCCCAAATGTAGCCCAACACCATTAAGAACATAATCCAAGTAGAACAATAAAACTCCTTTGTTTTCACTGTCAGGTATAAAGTGTTGGATCTTATTCTTAATTAAGCCTATTATGAGCACCAAAGTCTATGACCACTAAGAACCATAACACAAAGATCTCCACCTGCTCAAAGGACTCTCAGTAGGACACAATTAAGCACTGTTTTTCTTACAACTCCCTAAGAGCATAAAATAAAATAACCAATTGATTGATTGGTCTATTAAATGGCCCAGTCTTCACATGAGACCCACAAATGGTTTCAGACTTTCAATATTTTGATGACAATTTTTCCATTTCACTCTGATACAAAAGTGATACACACTCAGTGGAAATATTTTGAATTTGGATTTCGAACTAAAGCAGTCTTTTCTTTAATTTCAGTACAGTATTCAATAAATCACATGAGATAGTCAACATGTTATTATAAAATAGGCTTCATTTGGATGATGTTGCCCAGCTGTAGGCTCATGTTAAGTGTTCTGAGCAGGTTAAGACATTTAGTATGTCACATATGTTAAATATCTATATTTGACTTAACAATATTTTCAATTTAAGATAGATTTATTAGGATGATATTGTAAGTTGAGGAAGAGCTATATTTTCAGATATAACTTCTATAAAATATAATCTATGATTTTCCTAAAATCATATGTGTGGACCCCTTTTTTCCACTGGAAGTATCTATAATCTTGTGAAGCCAAAATTCTTAACTACAACATACCTACAAAAGGCCCCATGTCCAGGCATAATATCACACTTCCCATCATTCAAGCAGAAATCATGCTGTAGGTCACAGAGACTCTGACAGGGCAGTTCTTCCACACTCAGGTATCCAGGGTGGCATCTGCACTCTGCTTCTCCACTCCAGGGGTTGACCAAACACTCAGAAAATTCATTGCATGCTTGAAATTTGCAAGGGTTGGCTTGATTACCTAAATATCAAACAAACTGGAGTGTGAGGCAAAGAAAGGCAAAATACAGAAATTGGGATTCCTTCATGGACCGGCACTTCTGGAACCGTAAAATACACCATCACCACCTGTACCACCCAAAAAAAAAAAAAATCTGACTCATTCTTGATTGATGAGTTTCTATCAGATTTCTTTGAAACTGAAATCCAAGGCATAAAACCCAATGACCTGGGTAAGACTCTGCATGTCCTACCTAGATAGCATGTATAAACTTTAAAATCCATGTCATGCAATTAGAGAACCAAATGAAACACAGTTTTCATATACCATTCATGTCCACCAACTCTGTCCTGCTGCAGTCCACCTCTACCCTGCACACATGATGCTACACGCCTTGACCCATGCTGAGAACAAGAGGTAGGGAGACAGAGCGCAGAGCCCAGGGAGGGAGGAGAGTATCCATTAAGAGCTGACTAAGAACATTCAAGATTTGTGAAAGTTAATGTCAGAAAAACAAGAGTCCTACACACTCTCCGGTCATTCCCAACAATATTGGACTTTAGTAACTACACTTCCCATCAAAGGAATGAGAGGAAAATGACAATTTTTTAAAGTTAATTAGAACAAAAACACATCAAAAGTTATACAGGACACTGAAATATGGGCCCTACATCCTCCTTCACTGTATGTCCTTCACTGGTCAGTGCCAATCTGTGAATGGCAAATGGGCAAATGGTGACTAGGGCTTACTTCCAAAGAGTTTGAAAGTAAACAGTACTGGAAAAAATATGAAGATAGACATTTTTACCTTACCTCCTCAAAAACACTGTCCTCTGATTTGTGGATTGGGGAAATAGAACAAACTTTGAGAATCCAACATGTTTCTTTGCATCCAAATGCAAAGACAAACAGTAGTTCATGTCATTCATTCTCAGTATTTTTAAGCACCTTCTATGTATGACATGGTGTTAGTTTTTGGCTAGAAAATGGTTAATAAAAGAGATATAATCTCAGTTCTTAGGGACACCTCAACTAAGAAAAATATGCCTTAAGCAACTATGTGCATAATTTAGTACATTATGAATTTATAAGTTCAATAGCAAGAACAAATATGATGTTGCAAAAAGAGAATAAAAGGAGAGACCAATCTAGATTAGCGGTAAGTCAGTGAATGTCTTAAATAACAGATATTTTAACTGAGGCATCAAAACTGAGCAGAAATCAGCCAAAAAGACACAGTTTCCAGCAAATGGGACATTACACACAAAGACTTTAAGGTAAGAAAAGTATTTTGAGCCCGAGGTACTAAAGAAAGAGCATTTGAGGGCCTCTCCTGGTGGCACAGCGGTTGAGTGTTGGGTTGCGAGGCTGCGCGCAGCCTCTGCAGCGCCAGTTCGATCTCCGGCCACCGGCGAGGGTCCCACAAAAAAAAAAAAAAAAAGAAAGAAAGAGCATTTGACTAAAACATTGTGAAAAAAAGAAGTTAATTTCATTGGATGACATTGGGGAAGATAAGGGACAAGCTTTGTGGCTTGTGAACCAGGCAGCCATTGAAGTATTTCAAAGAGGGAAGTGAGAAAATTTGACTGATGTTTTAGAAAGTGCCAGTAGAAATAGACAGAAGCACATAGGTTTCAGATATATTTAGAATTTAGACTCAGTATGTTTGGTGAGTGGCTGAAAACTAAGGTATCATAATGAATTGCAGGGTTAAGTAGATGAATGGATTCAGCTTCCATATATCAAATGGAGATGTTAAAAGAAGGAGTATTTTTTTAAATTAATGAATTTATTTTTAAGTGAGGTAATATTGGGGTACCCCCAGTAGGTATTACCACCACAGCACACCCACCACTCACTCACCCATATTCTCCCACCAAAGAGCATTGTGCTTCCTTCCCTCTTTGTTCTTACTCCTCCTCTACCCACTGGAGTCTCCATTCTGTAGTCAGCTATTAAGGGTTAGATTTTCAACTTGTCTTTATCTGACTATTAATTTACTTACTTTTTATTCCACATATGAGTGACACCATCTGGTATTTGTCTTTCTCCAAGAAGGAGAAAACTTAAAGGTAGGGAGATATGGAAAACAAGAGCTTCCTCTTAGACATCTTATATTTAATATACATAGAATATATTCAAGTTGAGATTTTCAAGTATGTAGTTGTTTATTGAATGTACAGCTCAGATGATGTCTGATATACATAGAAAATATATTGGTAGGGCCTCCCCGGTGGCGCAGCGGTTGAGCGCCGGGTTGTGAACCTGCCTGCAGCCTCTGCGGCGCCGGTTCGATCCCCGGCTGCTCCCCGGCCACCAGAGGAGGGTCCCACATGGCGCGCAGACCTCTCCTGCCGCCCGCTGCTCCCCTCAGCAGTGTACTTCGGTCCTTCTGCCTGTACCCAGTGCTTGTATAAATAAATAAATAAATCTTTAAAAAAAAAAAGAAAAAATATATTGGTATTTATATAACTTAAAATAATGGGAATAGATAAAACAAATTAGGAAAGTAATATAGAAGGGAAAAGAGTTCACATCTATTGGTTCTGGCAACACAGATGTGGCAGGAACAGATCTAATGAATTAGTAAAAGAGAGATCCACATAGAAGAGTAGGTAGGAAGGGGACTAGGAGGTAAACAAGATTACATATGTGGACAACCCTTTTGAACAGAGAATGACATTGATGTCCTTTGAAGATATATTTTACTTATTATCAAGATGTAGAAAACTTGCCTGACATAGTACTCTTTTCCCCACACATTTTGTATTCATATATTCACCTTGACTCACTGAAGAAGAAAACACACGAACAGTGAATTCAGTGAAACTGGATTCCACAAAGAAGTCACCATAATACTCAATATAATTACCTGATTCTACATCAAGGGAGTATTTATCAATAGCCAAGTTCATGGTTTGATAGGCTGTGGTGCAAAAGTCTTCCAGAATCATATATACAGCATTGTTGACATTAGGAGGTATAGAGTTGGCAAACTTCATTCGACTGTTCACCACAATACTGCCGTTTCTGAAGTTCAGGATTTCTAAATTCTGGAACCCTGTGAGATTTGACTGGAGATAGGGAACCAGCTGCAATACATGAAATGTGAGCAGTTTATTGACAAATTTTACATGCTGTTAAATTAAAAAAAAAACCCTCCTCAAACAAGATTGAGTTCCTCCCCTATTTTCCCAAATTGGACACTATATTATTCAAACTGCTCATCAAAAGTATAAATTGCAAATTATTTGAGAGTCATAAGATTCTTATAGTGATATTTATGAATCCCATTGAACTCACAGTTTTAGATACCCAAAGTGTTTACCATCTATTTCACCAAAAAATCACAACAGCAAAGGCATCTAGTTACTTACAAAATATCGGCTCACAGTAAAATGTGAGAAGAAATCTTAAACTTGCTTCAGTCCCCAAATTCATAGAATACTATCTTTAGTATCTAAGTTATCACATCATCCTCATTCCACCTTTGTGTTTTCCATTTCTTATATCTGTGTGGTTACTGTTTTCCTAACAAATCTATACCATGACACTATTTAGAGATAAGATAGAGAATGAAAGTTCATTTGTAGATAAGATAAGGAATACAAATTCATGTAGACCATGCTTTCCTTGGTTCAAATCTTATATGTTTGGGGCAAATAGAGGTGCTTCATACACAATTGTTCACTAACACTCAAATTTACTTCTTGTGCTTACCAATTCTAAGAATCTTTGCTCCAGGACTTTATATCCCAAGGAGTTTTTGTTAAATAGATCTTCTGAAAACACCATGTTAGTCACTCGAAGGCTGAAGAAAACTACCAAAGTTCCTGGGGCCTGGGTATAGCTTGAGTCACCTACTTTTGTAGGCTGAGTCATAATAGTCATCTCTGAGGAGTGAACATTTGTAGACATATCCACATAACTACCAACCTTGCCATTTTCCTCATGGATTATCTCTGACTGATAATAATCTGTGCCAGCCTGGTCTAGTTCTAATGAAATATCCTGTACGCCCATAATTACTTCATCTTCTTGCAGAACAGAGCCTGTGGTTGGGGGCAATTTGGTAGACTGTGTAGCTTTCAAACTGAGATCGTCAATATTCTGTAGTGTTCCTGCCAATGTATCTCTGGACAATTTCCCTGGGGAAGAAGTTCGTGCCCAAACTACATCGGATTCTGGCAATGTGGTCCACAGAGGTCTCATATCTGGCTTCTCTATTGAAGCCTTGCTATGAAACCATTCACGGCTGAATGGCTCTGTAGTTTCCTGTAGAAAAGCTTCTTCTTGATGTGATTTATCAGAAGCAGCAGAAATTGCTATAGATGGCTGTAGAAAAGGTGCTCTGGTAACTGAATAATAATAATCATTGTCCGGTATCTCTGGTAGATGCTTGGAGAGAATTAGAGATGCAGACTGTGCTGTGGTCTCTGCAACAAGTTCTTTTTCTGTGGTGTTTGTGGAACTGTTAAAATGCCCATACTTTGAATGCTCAGTACTTTGGCCCATGGAATCTATTTTGTCATCTATAAGAAGTTTCTCATCTACATCTTCAGGTGGCAAAAGTGAATCCTCATCTTCAAGCCATGACTTGGACAGTGGTTTAGTGCTCTTCTCTAATGAAGTCTTGCTCCATGGCCAAGTAATCAGATCCACCTTATGGCCAGACCCTGAACCTAAACCACTGTCAAATATGAACTCTTTTTCCACAGATGTGTCTGGCATCAAACTACTCATTTCTAATTGATTTTTTATTTTGGAAGCTAGAGAGTCCAAGCCAAAAGTTGTAGTTATTTCTTTAGTAATAAGATCTAATGTGACAGAGGAGGCCAGATACGGTGGGGATGTCAAAAACACATCAGAGTCTTCAATGGGTGGTACTGTTTCTTTTGGCACAAGATGAGTTAATGGATTTAAAGGCAATGGATCGATAGAAAGAAAATCTTCTGACACTTCCACTTTAGTTAATCCTAAAAATAAAATTTTCCATCAATTAATCTACAGAGTTCCCAAAATTTATTCCTAGTTATCCTAATAAAGCCATCTAATTGCTTCTCCCCATAGAGTCAAGAGACAATTGTTGACTTTGTTGACTTTTACTTTGCTATATCCAGTCAACAGCAAGTAGGTCTGATCTTGTTTCTGTGATGTGGCACATCATTAATGAATATACTTCCTCTCTCTGAGTATCTTGGCTATTAAAATAATTCATCTTTAAACAAACACTTGATTTTTTTAATCCACAAAAATAAAGAACTACTGTTAGTCACATTAAGAACAAAGACTGAATCTAGTAGACACTTAGAGTGAAAATTGCCTAGGAAATTTTGTCTTTGAATTACCATTTCTTTGTTATGTGTATTTATTATTTATACCTTTGTTCATTTTTCTCTTTCACATATATACTCCATCCCTAAGTCACATTGATTTTTTTTCCTACACAGCTACATCTTGATCAATACTTGACCTTCACAATTAACCTATTAAAAACTACCAGAGTAATCTTTGTTTATACTCCAATATACAAGTAACTAAAGCAGTTCTTTAGTAGTAATTTACCTGAATTATATATTCTTCAGTAGGACCTTCAAAATATTTATAAATTATCTCCACCCCACCTACCAAGTTCATTTCTTATTATTTGCCTAACTGGACCCTCCATTCCAACTAACTAAATTTGAGTGTTCACTTTCTCACACAACTTTCCCAATGCATTTCATCCTAATGCATGCTACCATGCTTTTTGACTAATACTGCTTTTTTACTCTCTTCAAAACTCTTGCCATTTGATACAAGAGTAAAGACATAAAAAAAATGATTGGAATTTCTTACCATTTTCTAATGAGTAAGATCCAGAAGTCCTTTCCTCAGAAGGCACAGGCAAGCCAGTGTGAGGCTCTGCTGGGGTGACAGAATGAAGAGTCAAACTGCTCGCCTCTAAAATCTCTGGAGATGAACTGAGGCCTAGCTTTGAGGGAAAGGTTAATTTGGGTATAGACACTAAATCATCCACAGGGCTTTCTAACCCAAGTTTCCTGTCAGTGGTTAAAGGAGGACCAGAACTGAAATCAAGTGGTGAAATACTGCTGATGTTGGATTCATCTGCTGAGGGCCATTCAGTATTATCCTAGGGAGAAGGGGGGGAAAGGTTAAGTCATATCATAGATAAAAGAAATAAATTAAAATGATTTCAAACACCACCTATTCATCTATTTTCCAGATTTTCTAGGGATAATGAAGCAATGTAATCTTGGGGGAGAGGAACATGGGCTCTAGACTCAAACAGATCCATAATCAAATCCCATATTAAAAAATCTTTTGTTATTCTCTGCTTACTTCAATATCCTTATTTTCACTCCCTTAACCCTAAACATGCTGCCATTTAAGTGATCTATTACTATTAATATCCTGGCTAAACCATGTTTTGTAGTGCAATACACTTTAAAATAAAAAAAGAAATTTTAAATAATTTCTGTCAAAAATTACATAATTTGTAATGAATTACAAATGAAGAGTAAAGAGTGAGAATCAATTAAATCATCAACAATAACATGAATCCAAAAAGGTCTCTCTGGTTAAATTTAATTAGAAATAAAGAGCAGGGGTCTCCCTGGTGGCCTTCGGGTTAAGTCTAAGGGCTCTCACCATGACAGCATGAGTTCAATCCCCGGCCAGAGAGCTAACCCAGATGGGGCAGCAGACCTCTCCTGTCTCACCCACTGTTCCCTTTAGCAGTGTATTTCAGTAGATCTGCCTGTTCTGCTCCCACTCTGTCTCTGGTGAATCCTCTCACTTCCCACACCTCTGGCCTACACCCCAGATCTTCTATATAAATATAAAAAAAAAACTTTTAAAAAATGAAAAGAAATAAAGAGTGTAGAAGGGAAAGAAGGAGGTGATGAAATGTAGATGATTTCTGGCTATGTGACTTTGCTCAAAAAAAAAAGGAATAGAAGACGTATTTAGAGGTTAGATTCACTTCTGCTAATGCCAGTTCAATGGTTTGCTAGTGCTAATAAAGCATAATACTGTGCAGCAAGGGATTTTCCAAATCAGGATGCCAAAAGCTGTCAAGTTCAATATCTCAACATTCCTACCTCTAACATAATCTGTAATAACTGTACAATTGAGGCTACTACAAGGAGGTTGGGGTGGGGACAAAGGGTAAAGGACCCCCATGATGAAGAACTGTGGGTGCTTTGGTGGTGGGTGTGGTGTGGTGACATACATCTGTGGAAGAGTGACCCTTTTCCCCTAAATAATGTACAGTGTTGTAAACAAATGTTACCTCAACAAAAATATATATAATAATAAATAAAACAAATTCTAAAAATCAAATTTGTTTTAAAAAATACTCACTTCTACAAAAGAACAAATTCTTTCTAACGGTGTGCCAGAGGAGGAAGGGGTTGGGGAAAGGAGGAGAAGAAAGTAAAGAAGCAATACAAAGTCCTTCTAATTAATAATTTTGTTCATGTCTCTTCATTACCCATTAGCATTCCAATGACTCCTCAAATAGTTAATTTCCTACAGCTATCACTAATCAAAAATAAAGGACTTGGCTTAAACACAAATGAAACTACAGAACAAGTCAGCCCGGCTAGTCAGTGCTTGCCATCAATAAAGGGGCAGCCTCTTTCAGCCAACCTCCAGCCACTTTCTACAACAAAGGAATGTGAAATTAATGATACCAGATCTTCCTGTTCTTTACAATAAAAAAGTTGGAGATCTTTATATTCATGCCAAAATCTACTAATCTATAAATTTGGCCCCAAAGTACATGCCATAGCTCTATCTAACTAACTGGTTTCTGGTTTGCAAACACTGACTGTATAGAAACTCCTGTCTTTACAAATCATTCTAAAATATCATCTCAGATCTTCTTCTAGGGTTATAGAAGTCTGAAGTTGAATGGGGTTAGAAGAAACTAGTGATGCCATGTTCTTATGAATCACCATTCCCTCCCAGTGCACCCTCCACAGACTTCAACGATAGCATCATCTAATTTGTGCAAAAGTCTGTGTACTACTACCAGACTGGAAATTTCTTGTAGACAAGTCCACACCTTATTTGTCTTAGTTTCCCCAGCACTTGGCACATGAAAAACACAAAATAAATATTTGTGAATGAATAAATAAATGCCAAATGAATGTAATCTCTGATGTCAAACTCCCTCTAACCTTTTTTCTTCAATATGAAAATTGGTGATTATTTCTATGATTACACATTTCAATCTGAGTTACTATATAATTGAGTAAAAGAAATTGTTGCATATATTAATGCTTAAGTAAAATTCAAGTATTTTAATTTCATTAACAGGAATTTATTTTGTCATATGAGACAGAAAAGAAGTGCTGCAAGTTTAGAAGGACTGGAGAATAAGGAAGGGAGTTCCCCCAGCTGTGTCTATGTGATAATAAAAGAATAATGTATTCATTGTGGACAGGTAAGTCTGTCGTGGAGTTGTGATTGTAGTGGTAGTTGTCATTGTTACTGTTTTTTTAACTGTACTTGAGGAAGTCACTTTCTTTTCTAGTGAATGCCTTCCTACAGGTGAAGTGGCAAGTGAAAGTTTGGAGGGAGTAGGGAGTACCCTGGAAGTTAGATGGTAGGAATGAAGAGTAAAATTCAATATGGTATTAATCAAAAGAAAACTGGAAGGGGTGGAAGCAAGGGTAGAGGTAACAACGGGCAGTGTAATTGCACTAAAACTTTGGTGGTGGATAAGCAAAGCTTATATACATACAAAGGAATGAAATTGTGCCCCCCAAACTATATAGTTTGCAAATGAATGGTAAATCAATAAAATTTGATTTAAATTTTTTAAAAAGTTCTTTCTATGCTATTTCTGTACAAATGAGAAGGTTTTCAGCTCAGGTTAAAAGGAGCCTGCATGATATTTGACAGCCAGCCATATTTTCAGTCTTCCTTCTCCCCTTTCCATATATACATGATCCTATATGCTTAGGACTCTAAACTTGCTCTTCAATACAATCCCAGGGAACAAAAACCTATATTATGTACCCATGTTCATCAATTTATAGTCTTGGCTATAAAAACCATTGCTTGGTCACTTTTAGAAAACAACACAGTGGGGACTTATAGTTAATTATCATCAAACAAGTACAGACCATAAATATGTTTTTTACCATGTGTGGAGTTTGCTAACACCAAATGTGTGGACTTCATTTAATCACTGCAGAAGGTTTAAATTTTTTAAATGAATTTTTGGAACCCATGAGTTGACAACTATGAATAATGTTCCAGGGATGATGTAAGAGAATATTTGAAATCAGAAATATTCTGATTTCATGATGCCAAAGTAAGCAGGTAAGGGTACAAAAAAAGCAAATGTTGAGTGCCTGGTTCAAGGCATAAAACATACAAACCAGAATAGATGGTGGAGTTGTCTGAAGACTCGAGCTTCGGGTGTTCCAAACTCGCTCTTCAGTTTGAGGAAGTAAAGCTCCTTTCACTAAATAAAGAACAATATTAAAGAACATTTTTTAGCTGAAACACTATTGTACTTGAGGTTCAAGTACAACTGAAAACTAAATCCTCCTTCTCTACAGTTTAGATGTTAGCAAAACAGATTGAGGAGACTTGCTTAGAAAACACAGATATTTTACTTAGATTAGCACAATGTGTCTGAATTATAAGATTTCAGCATAAATATTTGTCCCATTATCACATCTAGGACATTCCTATATTATTTCTTTTCCTATAACAAGTCAGAATTACTCTTCCCAAGGTTTCTATGAAGCCATTATTTGTAAATTAACTTTTTGCATTTTAAATTAAAAAATTGAACTGACATTTCAACTCATTTGGTTGATATTAAGTTTGGAGAAAATTATACAAAGTGATTTCCTTTTTGGCAGAAGTGCCTTTGAAAAATTGGTTAGGGTACCAAAAAATTTATCACTATAGCAATATTAAAGAACAATGAGATAATAGATTGCATAATTTAATTCAACAAATAATTGCTGTATCTTTGCTAGTTACTACAGACTTTGCCAAAATTATGGCTATAGCATTAATAAAGGCAAACTTCTATGGAAATATTCCCTATGCCAGAGAGACAAACACAAACATAAACTATGAAGGAATATAATGTATGAGAACACAGACAGGGAAGAAATTGATTTTACCTGGAAGGGGGAGGGAATTAATAAAAGGAAGGAGGGTAATCTGCTATATGCTCCAAAAGTAGAAGGAAGATCTCTCTCTATTGATCTGTTCAATGGCCTAACAAAGAAGGATCAATCAGAAACCAAAAATCCTATTTTGGTTTACTTTTTTTTTTTTTTTTTTCAAAAACTCTTTCCAAAAATGTATACAATTACCTTGCAGAAAAACAAGTGAAAATGATAGAAGAGAACTCAGGAAAGTAAATCAATAAGGTACAAGAAAGTTCAAAAAACATATTCATAAGCTCAGAAATAAAATTAACAAGGCAAAGTTAGAAACTGAAGCTTCAAATCAGAAAATCACATAGACTCCAAATTGAAAAGAAATAAGTAAAACTTTCATTATTTTCAGATGACATGGTAATACACAAAAACCCATAAAGACTCCACTAAAAAGCTCTTAGAAACAATAAATCATTACAATGAAGAAACAATAAATCATTACAATCATTACATTACAGGTTACATACTCAATACATAAAAATCAGTGCAATCCTATACAAAACAACAAACTAAAAAAGAAAGAAGTCGAGGAAATAATCCCATTTACAATTGCAACAAAAAGAACTTTCTGTACTTGGCTCCTATTTTTTCTAAATTACTTACAAATTCCATACTGTTCTCCATTTTCCCCACTCTTTTTGTCTTTTGGTCTATATATATGTCAAAGCCCCTGATTAACCTATCCAAAATAGCTGCATGACTAAAGTTCCATTCATGTCACGATGACTCGCGTGTCAAGCAGTCTAGAGAACACTCAGCAGAGAACACTCAGCAACACATATACTTAGGGAAATCAGTGTTCATACTGGAAAAGAACTAAAACTAAACAAGCATTTCATGATGGGTATCAAACTCACCATCGATAAGTTGAAGGGAATCAGGATCCAGATGCAAGGAAGAGTTCCCCATCAAAAAATTCTGGTGCAGCATCTCGGCAATATAATCTCTGAAGTTACTAATTGTATAAACAACAGTGGGCTTATCATCCAATTCCACAAGACCATGGTTTTCCACCTTGTTGGAGTGAAGGCTAATTAGGTCCCAGGTGGTATTGCTGATGGCTTCACCATTGAAGGTAACTGTGTAATGAACATCTATGCCACTATGGAGGAAAAGAGGACATATTAGGCACTGCCAAGGAATCACAAAAAAAGGAGCTTTGAACCCATGGAGGACAACATTAGACAAGAGGAAGAGTCTCCAAAAGCATGGATTTCATCACCATTCTTGTAGACTTCGGGCCACTTTTTGCCATTCCCCCCACATCCCCCAGAAAACAGAGGTTCACAGAGCTAAGAAATTGGAGAGTTCTAGGAATACCACAGAGCAATTTTGCAGAATACTCAAGCATCTTCTTCACCTACATTTTTACCCTATCTTTTTACCATCAAAACCAACAGCTTCTCTCTACTATTAACCTGCTTCCTACTTCTCCACTGATATTAAAAAAAAAGGAAAAGAACTTGTAATTCCACCCAACAATGGGTGGTCTTCTCTTTATTTTGTTTATTGTTGTTGTTGGATGAATTTTGTGCTCCACAACAGGCAGTGATGTAGTGAAGTTTAATTACTGTGAACTAAAACAAAGGTATTATTGTGGACATAAAATATAAAAACCTTGAGAATAAAGCAAACTGATGATTTGTGATTTTTTTAAAATATCATAATAGGATATTTTCTAATAGGACAGTTATCTAAGTCTTTTAGGAGACATACTTTTGTTTGGTAGCCCAGACAATTTACAGACCTATAAAATTTAATAGCAAATTGTAAAAACATACTAAGAAGTGATTTTTTTGTCTGGTAGTAATAACTCCAAATTTACAAATTTACTACATTTTAGGGCATTAACCAATTCTGTGTCAAATTGAGCAGTCCTTTTCCAATCAACTACATAAATTTCTGTTTTTCAAATGCTCTACAAACTAATTCATTTTTTTTTACAGATTCCCTCATCAATGAGTTGACTAAACCTTGACAACCACTAACAAATAACTTTATCTGGAAATGGGATTTTTTTGCTGTCTACTTTTCTATGAGCAAACAAAGAGAAGATTTCTTAGAATAAAGAACAGAGTGAAAATAAAAGAAGTAGAAGTTGATGTGTCATTTTGGAGAAATAATATCAAAATATAAAACTTTAAAACAAACAGGAATACTTTTAGATGTTAATTCAGATGTTTCCAACAACTAGAAGCTAACAATTTGTAAGTGTTTACCATGTGATAGATATCACATGAACATTTATTATCTTCGGATTATGGTTAAGATATAGAACTTAAAGCAGGGCCTCCCTAGTGGTGCAGCTGGGTAAGCACAGCCCTGTGAAGCTTTCCGCAGCCTCTGCAGCATGGGTTCGATTCCCAACCAGCCAGGGAGAGTCCCACATGACGAGGCAGACCTCTCCTGTCACAGCCCCTGCTCCCCTCGGCAGTGTATTTCGGTCATTCTGCCTGTTCTGCTGCTCACTCTGTCTGTGGTGAATCCTCTCACCCTCCCTCACCTCTGGTCTTTATCCCAGCTATTGTATAAATTTTTTAAAAATCTTAAAAAAAAAAAAAAAAAAAGAACTTTAAAACAGTTACAAAACCTAAAATTTCATAACATGTAAGTAAGAAATAAAGATTCAAACACAGGGGCCTCCCCAGTGGCGCAGCAGTTGAGCGCTGGGTTGCAAAGCTGCCCGCAGCCTCTGCAGCACCAGTTCGATCCCCAGCTGCTCCCCGGCCACCGGAGGAGGGTCCCACATGGCGCGCAGACCTCTCCTGCTGCCCGCTGCTCCCCTCTGCAGTGTACTTCGGTCCTTCTGCCTGCTCTGCTCCCTGCTCTGGCTCTGGTGAATTCTCTCACCCTCCTGCACTTCTGACTGTGCCCAGTGCTTGTATAAATAAATAAATAAATCTTTTTTTAAAAAAAAGTGTTTAAAAAAAAAAAAAGATTCAAACACAGATCTGTCTGACTTCAGCACCTGCATTCTGAACTACTCTGGCACAATCTTGGCAGCTTTAATTCAACTAATTACCAGGAGAAATATGGGGACAGCTTTGCTCTAGTCTGATCTCCAGCCTGTCTATGCAACATGCCATTAGAGGCAGATCTAAGCTACAGCAACATCCCTCCAGAAGAAAGAATACTACCTTCCTAGAGATGAATCACTCACGACAGACATGAGAGGTAAACAATTTGCCATCTTCAGGATTCTGTAAGAGCAAAATGACTCCCAAATCAAAGCATAAAAAAATTAAGCACTTCCTGCTCTAAACTTACTTATGTATTTTTGTATGTTCTTGATTATAGCTTTTTCTGTTTTGCAAAAAGATCTCATTTACAATAACTGCCCTTCAGCCTCTTTTTGAACTTCTGTTCCAATGTTCAGCTTGGTCACCTGGCACTGAGAGAGATCCACTGCCTACTAAATAAACAAGAATTTATTGTCTGAATATGAAAACTACCACCCAGTGAAGATACTCAGTTATCTAACGAAAAAGTGTCAACATACAGAGAATGGTATCATGAAGTCAAGAAAAAGGAATTAAACAATTAATTATCGGAAGGCTTCTGATCAGTGTATTGTGACTTCCTTATAAGAAATTCTTAGCTTGGAGACGACTACAAAAGCATGACTTAATGATAATGGCCACTGAGATCACCTAACTGGCAAAGGGAACTCCTGACTTTTAACTCCCTAAAGACTTTTCTGTGGGGAAAGAATGCAAAGCAAGTTGATGCAATAATCAGATCTATTTCTCACTTAAAATGGATCAATTGACATCCTAGAGAATGTGTTGCATTTTGTGATTCAATAAGCATGAACCCTCTATGAAACCACCCTTTCCTGGAAGAACTCACAGCTCTGGACCTGTCCTGGGTCTGCATCCTTCAGATCACACCTTGGACTACAGGAGACACCATGAAGGTGACAGCTCTCACCTGCCAAGTAGCAGGTTTCTTTGATGTTCCTGACTCTCAATAATTTCATTCAGGTTTTGATAGTCTAGGATCTAATAAGGTAGTCTAGGGCTCTACATCTGACACCCTGATGCTCTACTAAGTGGCAAAACATCTGCTTGTCATCTGGAACTTCCCTTAATGTTTCATGTCAGAATAATTTGATTCATAAATAATTCCTGATCTTGTTTACTAAGGGAATAAATTCACAGTAAAATACACTAAAATAAGCAAAGGATGGCTTCCAGGAAAACTAAAGCAGTAAGAGGGACACCTACTGGTCAGAATTCTCCATACCATATGTGTCCCAAGCATCTAACACAAGGCTAGCTCATAGCTGTTTAATAAAAAAACTTGAAAATAATGAAAAATCACAGGTCAATTTTATTCACCAATGCAGGAAGATAAGACAATTAAATCTGTGCCACTTATATGATGGTATGTGATACTCCTGACGTAATCTGAGGGATTTTTAGTCTACTTAAAAAAGAATAATTTTTTACTCTAAAAGGTATCTATATTATTTGCATCTTCTGAGTAATCACTTTAGGCACAATGTATCACAGTTACACCCCAAATCTAGTGAGGATATACATACCCTTCCCAGGATCTAAGGGATGGACCATGCCTGCATCTGCTGAAAAGTGAACTTTTCCTTGGGATCTTTGCATAACCTATTACCAAGTTAACATGGCTTAAGGTAGGAAGCAAAGATAAGGAAAGAATGGAGAAGGAAAAGTTGTGCCAGTTAGCACTTGAGTTGGTTCCTAAACTCTGCAAAAATCAGATAAGGAGAATCAAGCTTTTACTGGAAGCTTACCACAACCCTTGCATGACTTTTTAAATATCACAAGGAGAAGATCAAGAGAAATGTTCCTGGATCAAGAAATGTATGCAGATCAGGAAGTCTGGGTTAGATTACTGGCCTTACTCTTTATTGGCAAAATGTAATTTGTCTCCCAAGGTCTCTCTTGGACATTCTTAAACTGTTATTCAAAATACCACTTCTATTATAATCTACATAGTCTAGTGAGGATAAATTCATTAAAGAAGATAAAATAATAATCTACATTAAAGAAGATAAAATGCCTCAGAGAGATGTTGTAATTTATCACCATGTTTTTATCCTGGAAAGAGAACTGAAAGAAACATTTGAGGTATCAGGAGACCATCTATTCTCAGAACTGAGAACTTGATGTGATCTAGAACAGAACGAGTTCTGGCATGGTAAACGGCATACAAAGACATCTCCAAATGAGGGTCAAGAGAGAGAAAGTCAAGAGACCAAGGAAGTGTATACAAAGTGGAAGGCACACTGATAGACAAAACATTATCTGATTGAAGAAATCTGTGCTGGCTCTTTGTGCTCAGCGACTCAAAGTTAGCCATTCACTGTATCATCCTCTTTCATCTAAACTAGACTGAAATAGCTGCTATGTAGAGGAAAGTTTCTCTGTCTGACAGTTATTTCCAGAGACATCAATGATGTGGGGGTGAAGTTACCCTTTTTTATTCTTTCACCTCAAATGCCTTGATTGGCTGTTTGACATGTGCAGATTAAGAAAAAAATGCTATGTCTCATTAAGATTGACCAAAATACAGATATTTTGAAGAACTCAGACATTCCTTCTCCAAAATCTGGAGTTGAATTTTTGAAGTATGTATAACAGGCAGATACATTGCTGATCCTTGTATTATTGTAACATGTACACCTTGAAAGAGACGCAAAGCAAACAGAAAATTTCATGTACATACAAATGTTTACAGAGGAGATTATATGTTATATAGGTTATTTCTGTACCACATATTCACTCACACACAGCTCAGAATAAAGGTATACCAAAAAGTTAGGAAGAGTTTCATCAACTGGGTAATACTGGACAACATTGGAAAGTCTACCAAAATTAACAATTCTATCATAAAACCTAATTACTTCATATTGAATTGTTATCTATGTCCCTGAGACTCTTAGCATTCAGGAGGTGGCTATCATTCTTTTAATCACAGGGTTTAAAAAAAATAATAGTCACAGGGTTAATGTTAGAGTCTGGGTTGTTCTAACATTCTTATCACTCTTGAGAGGGTAGCAGTGAAACAATCAGGCCTTTTGGTTGAGTGCTGACCATCAACACACATACTTATGATACATACACAGACAACAGCTCCATGTACTAAGAGTACAGAATTCCAAACTCAGATAAGCTTGGTCAAAATATATGATATATCCTACTAATAAAACTTACAGTAATTCATTTTGCCTCTCTGAGGCAAATTTTCCTCACCTTAAAAAGGAGATTTATATTAATTTCATTTTTAATATCTCACAGGGATATAAGAAAATAAAATGAAAGAATGAGCACTTTGACAGTCTCTGAAATCACTTTTTATTAGACTGTGTGTTTCTAGAGGGTAGAGACAAAGAGTTAGTTACTCATTTTTATAGGCAGAGGGTTTACCCAATTTGTAGACACATAGTAAATACTTGCTAAAGTAATATAAATAAAATGAGGATGTCCAAAAGTCATTTCCAAACATAAAATATTACAATGAAGAAATATTACTATATCTCTGAACAAATACATATTTAGCATTTGCTTCATAAATTCTGCATTATACTAATAAATCTTCCAAGAGAAATTGATTTTTAAATAAATTTTAATCCCAAGGTTAAAAGAGACAAAGCAAACTTCAGGAGGTGCATTAACTACGCTTTTAGATTATGCTACTTCTACAAAACTCCTGAGTGAAGATGTTTTTGCAAGTCAACTATTACCCAGATCACTTTCTCCACTGCATTTACTTTTTTAAAGGGCAGTGACTATACAATTCAATGACAAAATATACTGTAAGTGGTTGCATTAGTGCAAGTTTTTATTCTTATTTTAAATTAATTATAATTCAATATTTAAAATACTTGTCAGTCTGGGCCTCTCCAGTGGCACAGCAGGTTGAGCACAGCACTGTGAAGCTGTCTGCAGCCTCTGTAGCGTGGGTTCTATTCCTGGCCAGCCAGGGAGAAACCCACATGGTGCGGCAGACCCCTCCTGCCTCGCTGGCTGCTCCCCTCAGCAGGATCTTCAATCCTTATGCCTGTTCTGCTTCCCACTCTGTCTCTGGTGAATTCTCTCACCCTCCTGTGCCTCTGACTGTTCCCCAGTTCTTGTATAAATAAATAAATCTTTTTAAAAAAACTAAAAAAATAAATAAAATAAAATACTTGTCAGTCAACAACCTAGAATAGGAGCCTGCACACTACAGTTTGTGAGACAAATCCAAGCCACTGTCCATGAGTTAAAGGATTCTGAATTTTTAAAAGGTTGTAAAAAATCAAAAGAAGAACAGTATTTCTGACATGTGAAAATTATATGAATTCAGATTTCAATGTCCATAAATAAAGTTTTATTCGACCAGATCCATATTCATTTTCAATATATGGTCTGTATCTACTTTTATCTACTAGTGGTAAGTCAAGTAGTTGCAACAAAGACCATATGGCTTCAAAAAATGTAAAGTATTTACTACCTGACCCTTAACATAAAAAGTTTCCCAACCCCCAATCTATAAGAAGATAGAAAATGATAGTGGAAGCAATGAAAGGATTAAACCATGCTCCATTAGACCTAGGGCACCAAATTTTCTAAACTACCTCCTTATTCAGTCAAGTGCATAGAAAATACCAAAAAGTACCCTACCTGCCATTTTCCTTGGGGGACCTGAAAACAAAAAATTGATTGTGTTAAGCAGAGTTTAAGACAGTTGTAATTATAACATTATTCATCAAAGTACAAGTTCTTAATATATTTTTACCTTGAAATGTTTCCTGAAATGAAAATGCATATGTGGTATCATAACAAATACTGATAAATTCCTACAGATTGAAGGAAGTAAGCAAAGGTAGAGAAAGTATTCTATTTTAAAACCAATAGTTATAAAACTTATCATTAAACTTGGTTTAAAAGACTTCATATATGGTTATCTCTTTATTAATAAACTTTTTTTTAAGATTTATTTATTTATTTATACAAAAACTGGGTACAGTCTGAAGCGCAGGAGGGTGAGAGAATTCACCGAGCCAGAGCCGGGAGCAGAGCAGGCAGAAGGACCGAAGTACACTGCTGAGGGGTGCAGCGGGCGGCAGGAGAGGTCTGCACGCCATGTGGGACCCTCCTCCGGTGGCCGGGGAGCAGCTGGGGATCAAACTGGCGCTGCAGAGGCTGCGGGCAGCTTTGCAACCCAGCGCTCAACCATTGCGCCACTGGGGATGCCCTTTATTAATAAACTTTTTTCAGTAAATTAGCAGAGGACTTAAGCAGAGTTGTTGACATTAACAAAATCAGGATTCCATTTTTGGAGCTACCGTGTGTTATGTAGTATTTAAAATAAATGGAAAGAAAATCAGATGGTATATAGAAAGTCAATTCTCACATTTGGGAATGGTCAGAATTGACTAACTATAGTTTTTAATATTTATTTATTTTATATAATGACACTTAATAGAACATTCACTGAGCCAGGAACTGTACTAAGCATCCTGCATAAATTTAGTTCATTTATTCCTCATTAAGACTCACTAAGCAGGGCCTCCCCTGGTGGCGCAGGCTGTTGAGCGCCGCGCTGTGAAGCTGTCCGCAGCCTCTGCAGCGCAGGTTCAATCCCAGCCGGCCTGCGAGGGTCCCAAATGGCATGGCAAACCTCTCTTGTCGCGCTCGCTGCTCCCCTCAGCAGTGTACTTCAGTCAGTCTGCCTGTTATGTTCCTGGCTCTGTCTCTGGTGAATCCTCTCATCCTCCCACGCATCTGGCCTGTACACCAGTTCTTGTATAAATAAATAAATAAATCTTTTAAAAAAAAAAAAAAGACTCACTAACGGGGACCTGCCCCAGTGGCGCAGTGGGTTGAATGCTGCGCTGTGAAGTTGTCTGCAGCCTCTGCAGTGCAGGTTCGATTCCCAGCCCGCCAGGGAGAAACCCACATGGCGTGCAGCAACCCACATGGCGCAGCAGACCTCTCCTGGCTTGCCTACTACTCCCCTCAGCAGAGTACTTCGGTCAGTCTGCCTGTTCTGCTTTCCACTCTGTCTTTGGTGAATCCTCTCACCCCCCAACACACACACACTTCTGGCCTGTACCCCAGCTCTTGTATGCACAAATAAATAAATCTTTAAAAAAAATTTTAAAAAAAGAAAACAAATTTACTAGAAAAAGCAATAAATTGCAGTATTCAAACCTTTGCAAATCATTGTTAGAGAATATAAAATACAAAAGAGAGTCCAAAAGAAATAAAGAAATAAAGACAAAAAGAAATACAAAAGAAATAAAAAGTGCTAACAAACATTAGAGTATGTCTATTTACCTAAAGTCAAGTATACGTATGTCTTTGTAGCCAGGTAATCCAGTAAACGCATTTTCAACCTATTAAAAATAAAAATAGAATGTATAACTATGGAGAATGTGAAAAAGTGTATAGAAAATAGCACACTTAAGAGTAGCATATAAATTATACTGTTTACAATTATTGGGAGCTTGTACACATACATAGATACACAGAAAATTAAATAAAAATTTACAATAGATACTGTGTTAGAAAATAGTCTCTATCTCCACATTGGCACATTTTTACTTCTTACTTTGTCTTTCAAGATTTTAATGTGCTTTAATATTGGTTTTGTTTCAAATTATAAAAATCATATGTCATATTGGCAAGGCACCATGTCTTCCTTATTGTGATGAAATGTACAAATAATGCATTCATTGCTAAAAAAAAAAAAAACACTGTAATAACATTTTAAAACGTAATTGTTTGGATTAGAAATCTTGCCACAAAACACACACTGATCGTCAGTGCTTATTTTTATAAAAATGTTTGTTACCATCTGTTTCCTGTTCCCACAAATGTGAACATGGTCTACATTGAAAAGAAATCTGTAAGCCTGAACTCAGCCCTCCACCCCCACCCCGGAAAGAACTTTGTTAACTAAGGTGGCTAGGAAACAGTGACTGATAGGGTAACTATCAAAAGATCAATTTGTGAGCATCGGATGTACAGGAGCCAGTTTTATTAGAGTCTTTAAAATCTAATCATGTAAATCAATACAAACTTAGTGACTAAAGGAGAAAAAATAATGCCAGACTGGACTAAAGACCTAAAAATAATCAGGTTATATACAAATACATTTTAAACAAAATTGAGTATTTCCGTTGACATTCTCACTAATTAAGTAACTATGGAACCAATACCAGAATACAGGAATTAAGGGGTTAGTGGTCTTTGGGGACATCTCTGGGCTTCTGCTCTTAAAACCAAGTCTTCATGTAATCAGGAGAGAGGGATTTAAAAAAAAAAAAAAGATTTATTTATAGAAGCACTGGGTACTGTCAGAAGAGCGAGAGGGTGAGAGAATTCACCAGAGCCAGAGCAGGCAGAAGGACGGAAGCACACTGCTGAGGGGAGCAGCGGGTGGCAGGAGAGGTATGCGTGCCATGTGGGACCCTCGCCCTGCGGCTGGGGATCAAATCGGCACTGCAGAGGCTGCGGGCAGCTTTGCAATCCAGCTCTCAACCACTGCGCCACCAGGGAGGACCCAGGAGAGAGGGATTTTTTAAAATCTTGGATCAATGAATATCTTCATACCAGAAGGACAAAGAATCCAAACCCATGAAACTCTTTAACTGTAATAATTCACCTTGCTTTATTCCCTGAGAGGAAAGAGAATAGTGTTATAATTCTTGTAAGATGATATGGAAATGGAATCCATAGGACTAGGAATCCAAGAATAGCTGAGGCATGGTCCTAGCTGTTTTGCTAGCAGAGTGACAATGCATAAGCCTCTTATAGAACTAGTAATGACTTACCCTACAACAACATTGGTTATTGTAAGATTAAAATGATGGTACCTGACAGAACTCCATCAACTGCAAAATGTTGTACAACTGTACATTATTATTATTATTACTAAACCTATCTCTTTTTGGGTTTTGCCATCTACCGAGTCTAAACATGTATAGGTATTCTAATTCACCACACCTATTTAGCTACTGTACAAGTGTCTAGTTGCAAAAAGCCATTCTACTTTACTAACATCAAGATTAACAACAGGTACAATTTATTGAATGACTGCTATGTGCCTGGTACATTGCAATATGAATTCTAATTATTGCAACAAACCTAAGAGATACATATTTTCGCAATTTTGTAGATAAGCAAACTGAGACTCTGAGAAAATAATTTGCTCAGGATCACACACTAGGTTAGTAACTCCATCAGAATGTATTCAACCCTAAATTTCCCTAACGCCAAAACCTGTATTCTCCCTCACTGAATGGCATGCCTCTTTCTCTTTCCCCTGCCTCATAAATATGGTGAAATGTTAGAAGTAGGACTGGGAAAGCTATGGAACTCACCATAACTTCTCACCTGAATTAAAACAAAGGGAATTCAAAGAAACACTCTGAAAGGAAGTTTTTTCCTTCTATTCCTAAAGACTGAAATGATCATGAAAAGGTTACTTTCCTCCAGAGCTTTATCTGTAAAAATGGAGATCTTACCCCCATGGCTGCTGTGAGCCAACAGACATAAAACCGTGCATGGACACTGTGTTGGTATGTGGCTGTGTCCAGATACCAGTTCCCCCAAGCCTATCACGCTAACTTTTCCCTCTCTGAAGTCATATTTGCTGTTGTCCCAAACTTGTCTTACTCTTCTCAATAAAAAAGAAAGAGAGAGAAAGAAAAGGAAAGAAAAAAGAATAAAAGCTCCTGAACCTCAATCCTCTCCAAACAGGCTTTCTTTTTCCCTGTATGTCTTCCGTAGTACCTAGGAAGTAATACTGCAGGAAGAATTCCTGTGACTGTGCCCTAAGAGAGCTAAAGGGTCCCCTTCAGTTTGCAGTACACATGATGACAAACCGGTCAAAGCACAGTCTCTGACCCTGCTGTTCTACACAAACATGTGGTGGTTGGTAGATATTTTATTCCAGGTAAAGGGACCAGGTTTAGAGATAAATTAGAGAAGGAATTATTTCATAGCAGGCCCAAAGCCCTCATCACCCTTGAATTACCACAAGTCAATAGCTACCTACCTCATAAAGTCACTGCTGGGGATGTTTTTCAGTGTTTATTAGACTTTCTCTAAATATGCAGTCATTCAGCACAACAGTTTACCCACACACCCAGGTTTATTAACGTTCCCTTAATCCAAGGGCAGAGAGAAGCAGAAAGCAGATCCAAGACATTATCTGATGCCAGGTGGCCACTGGCCTGGCTGACATTTCTTCCACATACCATACAGCCTCACAACTTGGCCCCAAAGCTAGGAAATTAATCGTCTGACCTAGACTACCCATGTCTGATGGCTTCAATGATGCTATTTGGCTGAGAGATGCGCATTTTTTTTCCTCATCTAGACACAGTGTCTAGAGAAGGAAATTAATCCAAGGTAGTGGAATTGAAAAACATGGCCAAGGAGAATCCCATCAAGAGGGAATGGAAAAGAAATAAACAGGAAGGAATGATATGCTCTATCATCAGACAGAGAGGGAAGATGGGCATTTTTATGTCTTTGTCCCTGCAAAGACGTACAAAAGCAGGTAAATTATGGGTCCTTTCTGACTAAAATAACCTTGAGTTGAAATGCTATAGAGAATTCTCCCAGAAAGTAAAGTTGTGAATGATAAAATACATGATTCTTTAAAGAATTCCTTTTTAAAAAACATCCCCCAACCAAAGAACATAACTCATCTTCTTCCTGTGAATTTTTCATGAACTTTTGGAAGAAATGGTAAATCATCATCCCCTAAACCAAGTATGTAGACTGACTCCTAAACCTACCTTGAACCAATGTTGTGAATATGGGAAATTCACTTCAGCAAACTGTCTTGTGTATTAAAAAAATGAATAAAAATAAGCAATAAAGATCACCCACCTCTGAAATGAACTCTTCTACAAGGCGCTGATGGTGAAAACTAGAGGGATCCTGGAGTTCTTCCAAGTATTGCTCCCCCAAAAGGTGGATACTGAACTCTGCAATCTGCTCATCTGCCAGTTTTGTGGATTCCTCTATCACATTCTCAATTTCATTACTAATCTAATTTTTTTAGGAAAAGAACAATAAATGTCAATGTGGACTCATTTAATCAATAAGTATTTTTGGCTACCTATTAAATGCCAAACAATACTACTAATGCAACTTATGATGATGACCTTTTACAGAGCACATGTCATGTCTTTGGAACTACTAGGTGGGCTTTAAAACACAGCCTAATATTAAATCTACTGAGCATATGTACATTCCTTGGAACATATAAAGACAGTTCAGGGGAAGACAGGAAACTTTCCAGATAGCCACCAAAGTTGACATCAGCAAATGAGTTAAAAAGAAGTGACTATGCCAAAGTTATATCTGAAAATAGCTTAGAAGAGTGAGTCTCAAGCTTTTTGGTTTTAGGATCCTTTTATATTCTTAAAAATCATTGAGGAGCTCAAAAAACTTTGATTTTTATAGGTTATGTCTGTAGATATTTACTAAACAAAAAAGAGAAATTTTTTACGTACTTACTAAATCGGTAAAATAATAAGCTCAGACTGTATAAAAATTAACAATATATTCTGCAAGATAAAATTAGTGAAAAGAATGACATTTGTATTTTATAAGTTCTTTAATATCTAATTTAATAAATGAATACTGAAATCTCGTTATGTCTTTCTGCATTCACCCTATTGCAGTATCTTGTTTAATATGAAGTACATGAATAATACACAGTCACAGAGATATATGTATTGGGGAAGGGAGAAATATATTAATAGCATTTTCAGACAATTGTGAATTTTTTTTACATATAACTTCAAATTCAGCAAGTGGTAGTTTCTTAAAGATTAGTTGCTCTGTGGAGTCTGAGACCACATAAACAATTTTTTGTACTCTGTATTACTAAAATCCACGTCTTCCAGAGTGGTCAAAGCTGGAACAATTCAAGCAACAAAATGAAAATTGTATTATAATCCAAATAATAAAAAAAAAAATCCATGAATGCATACTGATATTAACAATTTAACAAAGAAATGAGGGTATTTCTAAGTTATTATGCCATATGATCATATGTATATTTTTATATATATGCATATATGTATATATATATGTGTGTGTGTGTGTGTGTGTGTGTGTATATATGTATGTATAGTTACTTAAAAGTAGACAAAAAAAACAGCCAAATTATCCACAAGGGAATAACAACTGAGTTGACAGTTGATTCTCAGTAGCAACAATAAAATATAGTGAAATAAAACCTTGACCTGCCCTCCTCAAAAAACTCAATCTGGAATTTACACAGATTTAGAATATCTTCCTGGGATAATAAAGAAATTTTCAGGTGATCAAAATCTGAGATTGAACCAGTGAGAGACTTTTACTAAAGTAGTATCAGAAGCAACTATTTCAGAAGAAAAGTTTTCACAGAAGAGATTACCAAAACGCAACAACAACAAAAAAAATTTAAGAAAATAAAATAACATTGGGTAAGCATTCAACAAACTTTGTATAATACATTCTAAATTGTGGGGTTAAAAAGAAAAAACAAAAAAGGAGAAAGAACAAAAATACTGGCAAAAAAAAACCAGGTTAATCAATAGGGTGATCCTTTGAATTGTAATATTCTAATGTTCCTGCATTGCTGAGGAAAAATATAAACATTTTGAAAAACTTAAGCTTTGCTAGATCATATATTATAATTTGTAACTACTAAAAAAATAGAAATAATTTCTAAAATGGAAGGTAAAAAATATATTAGAAAAAAAACTGAATGGTAAAAACATACCATAGACTTCATTTTCAAGTAGAGATACTAACAATCTAATTGTTAGATATCTCTACATTAAATATCCCTAGACCCCAAGTCTCCATTTACAATCTGAAACCCTCCCTGGTCAAAAGCAGATTTACTAGACTCTAAGGAATCTCAGCTTACTTTTAGTGTACCATTTCAGAAATCCCATTTCCACAAACTGTTCTTCACACTAGATACTAACTAACAAACCAGAATATCACTCACATTCTCCTCCTGCCTCTCCAAGTTATTCTCTGAGGTACCTTCATAGGAAGTCACACTTGGATATGGAACACTGAGAATAGCGCCTAAGTAGAAAAGCAAAAACATGTCTGAATTCAGTCCCTAAGTCAGAATTCATATTTAAAAACATAGAACTGATTTCAAAACCATTTCTATAAGTCTAGTTTAAATATAATTATGTAAGTCATTTGCTTTTTCATGCTGGAAATCTAGTGTATTCTAAATCTAACCTCAAGTATATTTGCAGAAGAAGAAATAATTCTGAGCCATTTATTAATTCATCATTAATTTACTGAGGACCTACTCTATGTCAGGCTTTATGCAAGACACAAGCGTTACAGACAAACTCCCTATCCCTGAGGAACTAGTAAGGGGGCAGATACTGAAAGAAGAGGCAAAGTGGGTGAAAGTTAGAAACTGGCAGGAATTGATCATTCTTGAAATTGCAGTTCATTGTGACTACTTTTGAGTACTTGGAATATTTTGAATATTCTGACTACTTCTGAATATTTTGACATTTCAATAGAGAGAAGCTTTTGAAAAAATTAAATAATGTAACTGCCAATTTACAGAAAACAGAGTTCATAGGAACATGTTATAGTGCACCACAGAACACAATCAGAAAAATACTTTGGGAACCACTAAAAGACAAATGGTGAAACTAGAAAGCTTCCTTTGACTTATGCAGTGGGTACAGAGATCTTTGCCTTAGAATTCTTAAATTTTGTTTTAAGTAGTTTTCTGGATTATGCTTAATAACGATTTTTAAGTGCCCACAATAAAATAAATGAAAAAGAACTACTTTTCGTTGAGATTCTTGAATAACATATAAGGAGAAAGAAACATGTTTTTTTTTTTTTTTAAAGATTTATTTATTTATGCATACAAGAGCTGGGGTGTAGGCCAGAGATTCAGGGAGGTGAGAGGATTCACCAGAGACGAGTAGGGAGCAGAAAAGGCAGATGGCCTGAAATACACTGCTGAGGGGAGCAGCAGGAGAGTCAGGAGAGGTCTGCTGTGCCATATGGGTCAGCTCCCTGGCCAGGGATCAAACTCATGCTGCAGTGCCTGCTGATAGCTTCATAGTGCCGAGACTTAACCCCTTACACCACCAGAGAGACCCCAACATAGTGTTTTTAAAATGTAAGCTAAAAAGTATGTTTGCTGGCAAAATTGTGTTAAGCTATAGATAATTTAAAAAGAGAAAAGGATAAAGGCACAAAACATACCTCCCAATGTTGAGATATCATCAATAGGAAGTGGCGATGACAATTCAGGACTGGAGGGAAAATGTTGAGAGTTAATACAGTGATAGAAATGTAAGGTTTTATTTGGGGAGTTGTTTTCCAAAAAGGAAGTCACTAGATCTCCAAATAAGCTTTCCAAAACAAATTACTGAGTAAAGCAAATTTTAAAAAATAGGAGAGGGAGCAAAGGGAGGGAGGAAGGAGCACAGGGGACTGAGATGATGGTGCACAGGTACATTGGTGAAGGAAACTCTGTGGGGACTACACCTGAGGGGTGGGGGAAGCAAATATTGTTTAAAAATGAACAATGATGTAAAAAATAAATTAAAAATAAAAATAGCAGTGTTCATAATTCATTTATTTTACATTAATTGATGCCTATTCTGTGAGAATCACCCTATATAAAGTACTTTCCTACTTACCATTTCATCACCCTGTTTTCATTTTTCTCATTTGTTATCACTCTAGGAAATTATTTTGTTCATTTATTTACCTGCTTCTTTATCCAAAACCTTTAGTCCTCTTGAATGGCATTATCCAATAAGTTAGTCACTGGATATATGTGACAATTTGAATTAACTAAAATTAAGTAAAGTTTAAAATTCAGTTCTTCATTCACACTATGTTTTTCAAGTGCTCAATAGTGACATATGATTAATGGCTACCATTTGGATAGTACAGGAAAGAACATTTCCATCAGAATAATGTCATTAAAATGGCTATATTACCTAAAGCAACATGCAGATTCAATGTAATCCCCACCAAAATCCCACAGGCATTCTTTACAAAAGTAAACCCAAAGAATCATGACATTTATTTGGAACTTTGAAAAAATTTTATGTGGAACAACAAAAGATAGCAAAAACACTCCTGAGAAAAAAGACCAAAATAGTTATCATGTTCCTTGACGTCAAACTATACTATGAAGAGATAATAATTAAGACAGCTTGGGATTGGAATAAAAACCGACACACAGATCAATGGAACAGAATTGAGAGCCCAGAAATAAAATCACACACATGCAGACAACAAATTTATGGCCAAGGAGCTAAGAGTTTACAATGGTGCAAGGAAATTCTCTTCAATAAATGGTGCTGGGAAAATTGAACTGCCTCATGCCAAAGAATGAAACCAGACCACTAACATCACACATAAATATTAATTCAAAAATGATTAAGTACTTGGATGTAGGACCTAAAACCACAAAATACACAAAAGAAAACAAAAGGGATATGCTCCTCGACATCAGTCTTACAAATGTGTTTGTGGACTTGATTCCAATGGCAAGGGAAACAGATAAACAAATGAACTACATCAAACTGAAAAACATCAGCATGGTGAAAGAAACATGCATCAAAATGAAAAGACATACTATCCATTGGGAGAAGATATTTGTACATCCTCCATCAACAAAGGGTTGATAGTTCCAACAGGGGTTAATATTCAAAATATACAATGAATGCATAAAAATCAATTGAAAAACAACCCAATAACAAAATGACCAGAGGATCTGAACAGATACTTCTCCAAAGACATACAGGTGGTAACATGCACATGAAAGAATGTTCACATCTCTTATTAATAGAGAAATGCAAATTAAAAACAACAGTAAAATAGCACCTCAGACCTGTGAGAATGGCTATTAACCAATTGAGAAAAAATAGGTGTTGGAGAGAATGTGGAGAGAGGAAAACTTTATATGTGGGATTGTAAATTGGTGCACCCACTATGGAAGTAGTGCAGAGATTCCTGAGATATCTAAAAAAATTAAAAGAGAAATTCTATACGATCCAGTTACCCCACCTCTGGTATTTATCTGAAAAACACAAACGCTAATTGGAAGAGATACATGCCCCCCATCTTTACTGCAGCATTATTAATAATGACCAAGAATTGGAAACAACCTAAGAACCAATCAATTGATAAAAGGAGAAAATGTGGTATACATACATAATTGATTACTATTCAGTTATAAATAAATATGAAATCCTGCCATTTTTGCAATAACAAATCCTGCAATTTGGATCTAGCAGGAATTATACTTAAATACTTATAAGTTAAAGAGAGAAAGATAAACCCCATATGATTACACTTGTGTGGAACATAGAACAAACAGACCCAGTAAATTAAACAAACGTTAAGACATTTGTAAAATGTAAATAAAACAAAAAACATTTGTAAGAAAAAAAATCTCCTGGCTTTTAAAAATACTGTCTAGAAAGAAAACTATATTAAGCCCCTACATGAAACTTATTACTATGGGTTACTTATACTGCATTTACAGGAAATTGCTTACTAAGTGCTGTCATTTAGAGGTATATGACACCCGGATAAGTCATTATGATGAATGATGAGCAAAGGATGATGACTTGGGAGAAAAGAAAGCATCCAGAGACTTCTTGGTTTACAGGAGAAAAAAAAATGGGATTCAGATGAAATTGGGATAGACATTAACATAATCAGACCTAAATAGTCTATTCATAGTCCACAATTCAGAACCCCTTCAAAAAAACCTTCATTTTATACATGGAAAACACAAGAGCCAAAATGGGAAAAGCAATTTTCCCAGTACAGACAGTGCCTTGTCAGTAAAAATATTATATAGTCAGTTCAACTATGATGCTATTTGTAAAATTGTTTCATTGTGATAAATATATTAGGAAACAACTACACATAATGCAAATTTCTCCTTCACTTATACAGAGTTTCTTAGTGAGAAACACTAGAGGAATGCAGAAAACTACACCCAGTTGAAGTGAGTCACAGAGAAAAACACAGAACACACACACACGCACACAGTAACTCAAACATCTTTCAGCTACTTCTGTGTTATAAGCCACACCCATCAACATACATTGCTACAGCTTCCATCCTATTTCAGATAACTCTCCTTGTACGACTTTACAGTAACTCACAAGCTATTTTCCAATGTCCACTTTCACAAGCAAACTTCGGAGCTTCTTTGATGTCAAGTGCCAGATGTATTATACTATTTATTTATTAACCACACAAGATGTGTAAAAGGTGCTATCATTTTCATTAGGTACAACTCTGGTAGTACTCACCAGAGTATTTAATCCACTGCCTATGTGTTGCAATAGCAATCACAAGGAACCTCTCAGATCTTCTTCCTCTTCCTCTCAATGGTCAAAAGCCCACACCCAAGCAACCACATGGCCCCACCTCTAAGTAGGTATTTAATCCCAGGCCAGCATAGACTCATAGGTGATATTAGCTCTGTGGATGCGTGAGATCACACAGAATCCTATTTCCTTCCCATTTGTTCATGACTACCTTGAAATCAAATATATACCCAACTACTAACCACATGTACAATCTACGATGCCTTTCCCTGGACTCTGCTGCCCAGGCGGGCACACTGACTCATCTACTTGATTTTTCAACTTGTCCTTCCTTCACTTGGAGGCATAATGGATTCTGGCCTGAATTGAATGTCCTAGTGATGCTTTTCTAAATAATCACCCACAAACTGGCACCATCTAGATATTCTGAATATGGGTAGAATCAAACATTTTTTAGACCTTGTGGATTCAAAGCTCCTTACCTTCCATGATCTGCTTTGTACTGCTATTGCTCGAGTCAGGAATAAAGCTAACCCTAAGTCTAAAGGCCAATAGAGCCAAGAATCATAACATTGGAGGACTTATCAAGATTGTGTTATTCCTGTTTCAAGATCATAATCATCATCACTCAATAAAGTGAGCCACACCACCCATCATTTAATAAACTATGCTCCTCTACAGTGTACTATTTCACAACAATTTTACCCTCAGTCTGTAAGCTTCAACAACAGTAGGTCATTCCAAATCCCATTTCCCCAAATCTATTTTTCTCACCCAAGAGAGAGGAGCAAGTCTGCCTCCTGTGAGGTCAGACAGTAAACAAGCACAGCGGCTGTGATGGTGGTCCGGAAAGGTAAGTGGCCTCAAGATGAGGAAAAGTATTTGGACTTACCCACAGGCCTGGTCACTGCAGGGACTGGCAATAAAAAAGAAAGAAACCATTAAATTTGAGGTGAGTCTTGGAGTAGATGTACAATCCATTCTCTGTTGCCAAACATGAACTAACTTGGGGGAAAAAGACACTCACCTGCTTACAGTTTCCTTTGTGTACATCAGTTTCTAAGGAAAATAAAGATGTTAAAATGACTGCCTGAATTAATGACAGTTATTAAACTGTAAATAAAACTTATTACACAAGGAACATGAATGCCCTAAAATTACAGAAAAAATTACAGAAATTTTGTTATTATTCCCTTTGGTTAGACAAATAGTTAAAACTAGGCACCTAAAAATACAAAGATTTTTTGTGTATGTGACTGTGGGAACATCCCTACACTAGGTTCCTGTGCTCTTATAATGAGTAAAGATTAACAGATTTTGCCTGCTAATCATTCCAAAATAAACTACAAGTTAGACATGGGTAGAGTTTTATATTAATTTTCCATGAAATTAGAATCAAAATGTTTTCTGATCTAGCCTATTTATAGTAACAATAATCCTAGAATAATATAAACATGCTTGTAAAATAACTGATAAATCTGATTCTCCAGAATTCAAACAAAAAGACAAATTGTATCAATTAGTGGATTACTCCTCTGGAGTATTATTTCCAAAGTAAAGCATCCCAAGATTCCTCTAAATGAGTGGCTTACATTGATCGCTCCTTGATTAAGCTTATGTGTCTGGCTTGTCAGTTTAGCTTCAATGGATTCACACCATGCTTTTTCAGATTCACTGGAAATCTGACAAATTTGTTAGATACCACTCAATTCTTGGGTAAAAAAAATTAAAAATTAATTATGGCTTAATGTTGAGACCAAAAGATAAAAAGATCAGAAAACCTAGTTTCAAGTTCTGTTCTCTCTTGTTTAGCTATAGAAGCAAATCCCAAAATCTCTCTGGTGTCAGGCTTCAGTGTCTTCATCTGTAAAATGGAGACAGTATTACTCTAAATAACTCTCATAAGCAACTCACTGCTCTTATTCTACAGACTTTTCCAGAATAATTTCAGCCACTCCTATGGTTTTAATGACCACCTCAAGACTGGTGATTTCTATAGGTATATTTGTGACCTACATCACTTCCTTGACTTTATATATAAATATCAACTCACATTTCATACATGGCTCAACTCAGTATGTTCAAAAATGATGTCATTCTTTCCTCCCTTGCCCCAACATCTACAAATCTTCTTCTCTGATTTCTCAGTCTTTGCCATCCAAGACTTCCTGTTCCATTTCTTTGGTCTTCCCACTGACCACCAATCCATGACATGCTCCCTTTCTCTATCTCATGGTCTAGTTAGGACCTTCATCCCCTTAGGCCTGGAGTTCTAAAGTAGCATTTCTCTCCCCTCTCCAGTATTGTGCCCTCTAATCCAGCCTACAGTGACCACCCATAATGATCC